TTCTCCCCAGTCATGTTTTGGGACACTGGGCTAGGCAGAACCCTTGTGCTGCCCTGCAGAGATGCTCTTTACTTTCTTATATTTGTTGCTCACTAGCAAAATATATGCATTCAGCCTTGTCACTCACTGGGGAGATGCACTTTTAGTAAAGTATTCACTTGGGATTGCATATGTTTCTCTCTATAATCTGTTGAAAACTGCAAGGAAAACAAAATCGCCCCACGTTTAACTGGTACTATTTGAAAACCCATCTGCTCTTATTTCGGTCCTCTGTTCCGTCTCAGATTCAAGGAAGTACTTGACATTTTCTAGAATCTGCAGAAAATTTCAAGGCTTATGGGAAAGCTACTTGTAGAAGTATGTGTTCTTAAACTACTCCTTCTGCTTTTGATCTGATTGTGTAGTAGAACCTTACCTAGTAAGTATACACCGCACACAAGATTTTATTTTTTTTTAAGATGCAGAACGTATGATCCCTGTTACTAGAGGAAGAGATACTTCACAAAAGCCACATGAATCAAATCTGTCAGTGATACTCAGACCCTTTTCTTTTTTTTCAGATTAGGTCTTGGTTTTGCCATTTTCATTTACATGTAGGCACTGGAATGAGGAGTGAGCTTTGAAAACACGCAGAATACACCAAAGATTTACTATTTAGGTATTATAGAATTTACCACCTAATGTCCTAGAGTATAGTTTCAGAACACAGCTGCACATACTTGTGTCCCAAGAAATATATATTGTCCATGGTTATAACATTTGGAAGTCAGGAATGTGGACCTGGGATGCCCAAGTTCTCCATCTACTCCTGTCTGCTCAGAGAGGTCACACACATTTGGCAGAAATCAACAAGCATTTACCTTAGCAAATCAGAACACAGCAAAGACTGTTTTAACTACCTTTTCCTTTGCAGATTAATCCTGATCAAAGATGAAAAAATCTTTCTTACAGTTTTGCATAATCTATATTGGCTTTTTACAAATTGATACAGTTTAAAGAGCAATGGAGAAATATAAATCCTATCCCAACTACTCAACCATACAGCATTTAGTGGTTTTTTGGCGTGCCTAAACTCCTACCCAAACTTGTGCCCATCTGCTAGAAAAACATTCTGGCCATTCAGCAAGGTGAAACCACGCTGGCAGATGGTGGCCAGTGATAGACTGTCAAATGCAAATAACCAGTTTCCAAAGAAATACCTCCTAATGGCAAACACCAACTAATTAGGTTGTATAAACCATTCCAAAAACATCCTATCTATTTATATCTGTTGGCAAGATTAAGACTTAAATCATATTTCTGGGCACCTTGCCCCTCCTTTTCTGCTTAGACATCCATTTGAAGTATTCTTCTTAGTATAAAGGGTATTAGCATTCTATTTAGCACCCGAATAATTACATACTCCTTAAAAACCAAACCAAACAAAAAAACCTGTCCATTCACTTCTAAATTCCAGGACGAGGAAATTTAATTGAGTCTGGTAAATCACTGAAACCAGCAATACTTAATTTAATGAAAAGAAAAAACACCTTAGTCTTTTTAAGACATATACTAAAGTTATGTAGTAATAACATTAAGGCAAGGTCTACATTTATTTGTACCCATATTTCTATGGAAGACAGTGGGCTGGATCTTCCAGCATCTCAAATGCAAGTCATTGCACAGTTGAATTTTTCCATTGGGCAACAGTGAAAAGAATAATGGAGTCCAACATCTGCTTTACATAGCACAAATCACTGCCAAGTCAGTCATATTAGCTGTGCACTTCTCTGTACTAATATTCACATTCTAAAGATTAAGAGCCAAAAATATAGAATGAATAACAAATAATTTTGCACATTAAATATATTATTAACACATAAACGTGCATTTCAGCCTTATCTTTCACAGCTCTTTTTAGGTATTAAAAATCAGTATCTCTGGTAAGGCTTTTGAGAAGAAACCACTGGCCTCTATCTCTGTAGAAAGGCAGGCCTGCCTGCCCCGTCCCTGGAAACCAGTGCATCTGCTCTAAGATGTACTTAAGACGAGTTCAATTCATTTGACAGAACTGATTAAGAATGCATCATTATTAACTATGTTTTTCTTTGGAATAATCACTGTAGTGAAACAGAGATTAATGGAGAAATAGTGTACAAATAACTGAATATGCTGTGTCTTTTATCCCATGTCTATTTTTAAAAAAATTCTATGAAGAAAATTTGGCCCAAAATGTCTAGAACTCACTGATTTTTACCAACATATTTACCTTTGTCAGAATTTGCTGTTTACTAGCTTTGTCCACAAAATCTCAGTCAACATATATTAAAAAATCACAGAGATTTTAAATAACTTTTGACAGATAAATTCAATCAAGTGCTAAATTTGTACATTTGCTCCTAGAACACTTTGCTTTTGACTCATAGTGAGGGTTGTTTCGCTAACCTTTTCTGGAAAACTTTGCCTGGGATACAGCCCACAGGCCAGTGAAAGGTAGTGTGCTGTCCTGGTTAAATCAGCAATCATGCTGCAATATAGAAGAAAGCAAATTTTTTATTTTCTGTCAATTAGAATATATTAAGGGAGACATCAAAATCACAAAACACAACTTGCAGCTCTAAAACCTATAAATATGTCATTGAATTCACACATGTTGGGAAGTCAAACTGAAATAAAATACAAAAATCTGCACCAAACTCTGTGGGAATAAAGCATTTAACAAAAGGAAACAAAAAGATCCGGAAACTCCACAGAAGTAACTGTCTGTGTCACAGCAATTAAGTCTTTCAGGGGCTTCCTATGTATATTGTGATTAAAAACAAACACCTACAGGTTGAATTTACAGCTGTGATCAGTGATTAATCCTATAAAGCTTCAGAAGAGGTAAGTTCGGGTGAAAACCACTCCTAGTGGTGTTCAACCAAGCTCAAAAGGAAAAGTTTAGTCTGCAGTTAGAAACACACTGGCAGAAAACTAAACCATGATTTATCAGTCTTCTTTTTTCTGGACTTACTTAGCAGACTGCCCAAGAAGAATGTTAATTCCATTTCACTGACAAAGGAAAAGACTCTATTGAAACTAGGGGAATGAAAATGGGTATTTTTACAGTAGGTTCAAGAAATAGAGTACACAGAATTTCCAGCTGCTGAATAAACACAACAGATCACATACATATATATATATATATGCACACACACACAGATCTGGTAATATTTTTTTTCATTTCACCCTGAAGCATGCTTAAATCTTTCATCTAACATTTTCTATTGAAGGAGAAAGTAAATTATTATTTTTTTAAAGCAATACTGTCCGATGCTTTTGGAAGCCCACTGCAACAAAGGTAAAGGATTCTTCCCTCCCATCTTACATGAGTAGAAGAGGAGCTTTAGAGAATTTCACTGGAGGTAGTGAAATCCCGACATAATAAATTCAATTGAAATTAGCAGTACATTCATCTTTCTGTCATGATCTCACTTGGGACAGTCACAGTCTGCTTCCTTCATGCTTCCCAGTGCACGCACAGGGTTCCAGAAGGATAGGAAGACAAGGCAACAACAGCACATAACAACTTTCATTCACAGTAGGAACGAAGCTGCCTTCGTCAAGCAGCATTTCCACCACCTGCTCCCTGGAGATACCAGAAAGCAAACCCTTTCTACTTGACATAAGACAGCTGCTATTAATGCTACAACAATAATGTACAAAAGGGTCTGGCTTGTGGATCTCATGTAACAAGCTAGTAAATTACAAGCTCCTAGAACACTGGCAAAAGAGGAATCTTAACAATCACGTTAGTAAAGCATTACAATTAAATTTTAAGCTGGCATTACACGTGCCTACCTAGTATTTAAGCTATATAGGGCCTTTAGCATTGTAGAACTCAGTCACAGTTGGCTGGCAACATCCTCCAAATCTTACTAAGTTATTGGGCAAGGGTTTTTCTTTTCAATTCATTTGAAAAAGTCTAATAGTAATTGTTCTCACTGTCATTACTGAAAAATTTCCATTTGGTTTGTATGAAGGTCAGCACTGTAGGTGAAGATTGAACAGTCCAATTCACTCCAATTGATTCAAAATTGCAGATTTTAGTATTAATTGCTTTTAGGACTTTATATATATTCATTGAGATTTCCATAATGATCCTCAAGTGGTTTTCATTTATGAAGATTCCTCTTCCTAAGAAATTGCATTGGTCACAGGCAAACAGTTAGCTCTCTGAAAGCCCTCCCAAACTTTTCTGAATATCTTGCCTGTGTTTTTATGTAACGTGGACATACACCTCTAAATATCCTTTTTTTTTCTCTTGTCTGTGAAAGCTAAATACTACTACCTAATAGCCATAAGCCATAAAAAACATGAGCCCTCTGCCACACAATTGAGCTTTATTTTTGCACTTTTTAATCCATTGGTTCTTATGGAGCCTATTTCATGGCAACACTTGAGATCCCACACCCATGATTATGTAGTTCCCTTAGGATCTTACCGTGAAGCACTTTCTCACATGAATTTTTAAACATGTCAAATAACTTACCACAACCAGATCTCTGTTAGCTACCATCTTGTTGTCAAGAAATTATGGAACACTAGAAGCAAGGCAATATCATTCTATGATAATAATCTTTAAGAGTGAGTCTTGCATATCTGAAACATTTTAATACTTTCAAAAGTGTCCCTCCCTTCCTAAGAGAAAAAAATAAAATTAAAAATGAAAAATGTGTCCATGTTCAAAGTATTATTTAGACTCAGAAACACTGTAAAAACATAAAATAAAGAATATGAGATAAATATTTGCATTCCATTTACAAACATGCTGTATCCTCTTCTGTTCCTATGGATTTCAGTTCCTACTTCCTCCATGGACAGCAGTAAGATTCATATATATGTGGTGAACCTACTATTCAGAAAGACAATAAAGAGTGAATTCCAGTTCTGTAAACACACATTATGGAAAATGTTTATTGTATTCACCATCAGAATTATGACTGATGGCAATTTAAATAAATGCAATGCCCAGGCTAGAGTTAACAACTGGTTTTGATGTGTGATTCATCTATCTCATCCAGTACACCCCTGATACTTTCTACACAAACTTCTTCATTCTGATGTTTCAAACAGGCTTCCTTCCATATCTCTTCAAACCTTTCATCTGAGATGTTCACGCCAATGTTGCGGAGAATTTGTGCAATCTACAAAATAATACAATTCATGTAATTCTGGTCAGCATTTTCTTTAAACTATATAGTCTGGCTTTACATGCATTAGCAATCTGTATATGCCAAAGAATATTTCTCCACTCTTAAATAAAATCTACAGACTACATTCTGTATCCTCAACCATAGATGTTCCTATTTAAGTAAATCTGTATCTTATTGGGATGAAAGCTGTGGTGTACAAAATTGTCTTCAGTCAATAAAGTAATGTTGATGCAACTTCCACATTGGAAAAATCAAACACACAAGATCCAGGGAAAAGTGAATATTTTTAAAAGCCCTAAATCCTGTTTATCCACTGTATTGCAGTGTACTGTTTGCAGTTATCGACACAAATCAGATTATTGTCTGCATTTCAGAGCAAGAATACTATAAGCAAGATCTTCAGTTGGTATAGATAAATGGATGAAGTGACTGAAAACGGTTCACATTAACTTTGGGTCTTGCTATAGTTTTACACCAAAGTAATTCAACAGAATTTTTTTTTTCCTATATTTTCTCACTTGGATGCTTCCTACTGCATGCCTCATTACACTGACCTGTTGACTCATTAGAGGAAGGTGGCTTTAGAAGAATATTGATGTGACTTTTGGTTTTGTTAGTATTAGCAAACATTTGGCTTCTTCAGTTGTATTGTGTGTGTGCGCACATGGGTGTTATATGTACGCTCTGGAGATATTACTCATGCTTTGTTTGTCATCTTTCTCTAAAACTGTCTTTTGTATAAATATAGGCCTGATTCACAGTAGAGCAAATCTGCAGCTTCATTTTAGCCAATAAATCTATGACACTTTATGCCAGCTGAAATTACAGGAGGAAAGAACAGTCTAAATGTTATTTCTTTAAGCATAGGTGTTGTTTCAGTTAAATCAATAACATTACGCATGAGGAAAAGAAACCAGATTTGATCTAATGTCTTCAACAAGCTAGTGAAATTTAAAAGTTAAAATAAAAGTGATATTCCATTACAACATACCACTCCAGGGACCATAACGGAATACATGCTCTCATAACATGCCTTCACCATATTAAAATACAACTCACTCCCAGCCATAAAATAATCACTGACTAAACCACAGGCTATCAAGTGTGCAAATGAGGTGAAACTGACCCTTACCTATTACCAACACAATCATGTTGAATATAAATTACACACTGTTACTCAGTTACATAACTTCTGTTCTCTTCAGTAGACTAGGATGAAATCCAGTGAAGAAAACAGTAGGCCCTAGAACTATTTTGTTCTTTTGTAACATGAAGAGTCACCTCATGAAACTGCTTTATAGTCAGAATTCACATTCATTTCTAGAAGCCTATACAAAAACTGGTAGCACGAATGACTCGGGGGTTTCATATAATGATTTCATTAGCTATTACATGTTTGAAAATATTAATACTCCATATCAAAATAAATCAAAGACTATCACTAAAATACTGAAATAGTCCATTTCAGAAGTATAGGGTGATTTAATACACTTGGAGGTGGTTCTGTACTGAACTCTGTATAGTCTGTATAGTCTACAGTGGAGTATGGCATCTCAGGCCACATCACAACTGCAGAGAAGAGTTCTGTCTCAAGAGTGCTTGACAGGTATAATGGGCTTCTCAATGAAGCATGAATTCTATTTACTGTTAGCTATATTCTGCATGCACAAATTCCCTGCTTCTGAGCTAGATTATAAAATGGTAAATGCTCATGTACACAACATTCTGACAAGCCATTTTATGGATATGTATAGAACATGACACCACACCTTTTACATCCCAGTCACTAATTAGCAACATTTTTTTCTGTAAAATATATACTCAAGATCCAGATCCGCTTTCAAATGTGACTGAATATTTAATATAATGACTAATAGAGGGGGAGAGGCTGTCAAGGCTTCTCTTTTCATATTAGATTGGAATTTCACATTTTGTTACAATTGTCTCATAAATTGTATTTCAGGCAATGAAGTTATCTCTTAATATTTTTTTTCGTTAGAAAATGCCTAAAAATGTAGAAGCAAAAGAGTAAACAATACAGAAGCAGCAGCAAAGTTGTATGAGTATTTATGTGGGAGGAACTCTGGGCTGCGAGACAACAGAGTGGTAGCAATCCCCAAAGATACCGGGTAGAAAAATCATGGAGTCGGCAAGTAAGTCCCTGCAGTCTCACGTCCCATCTTTCTCTTCAGAAATATGAAATGGCACAGCATTGGTGTCTGATTCCCTCTATCCTCTGCCACTGTACAAGTCCTTTGAAGATTTGAGCCTACAACAGTGACTCAACAGAGAATTTGAAAGGTAGATTCAAGCAGTTTGCTGAATTTGCCATTAGCAAAATGCACAAGTTTGTTTGAAGAGAGACACCTTGGGTAAAATTTTCCTCTGAACTATCCCTCTGTGATAGAAACCAGCCTGACACACCTGTAAAAATATTCTTGGGGGCTTTTTAAGACATTTACTCATAGAATAACTTAGGTTGGAAGAGATCTCTGGAGACCACCCACCTGACCACATGATCACAACAGGGCTAACCTTACCATTAAACCACGTTGCTTGGGACCTTGCTCAGAAATTTGAATACATTCAAGGATGGAAATTTCACAAATGCTTTGCTCTTCTCGCATTGCAGAAATGATGAGTCATAGACTCTTAAGCCCTAGGTTGATTACCAACCCTCATTTGACACTGCATTTCAACATGTGAGTAGCAACAACCTGACATACTTCCTTAGATTACTTATTGACATTGGATCTCAGTAAAATTAATATCTATCACCTTTATGAATAATTATGAATGTGAAGAATACATATTTTTGAGGTGGTTGAATGGATGTAAGGAAAGATGGGAGTGCTGTAACAATGAATTTTACAACCTGTTTATTTGATAATATGACTTTCCTCTCCCACATAACTAGAGGTATGCTTATCTTGGAATAACATTCTGAAGAAATGCACTGTACCTCTTCCTTTGGTCTTGTTTTAAAAATGTCTCTTTCATACACTCCCTTTTCACTGAAGACAGAAGGGAACAATAATGTATAAGCATCTCCCTCATCACCATAATTTGTTCTGTCACTGACGCGACGAATTCGAGGAGCAGGAATATCTGAACGAATAGTTGGAACACCACATACTCGATAACCTGTGGAAATCAATCAACAAGTAGCATGGAAAAGCTGGTATGTAAAGATAATGCCAGGGGGATAAAACATTTTGTGTGAAATGAGAACGAATTTGATACTTCTTCTCACATAGGTTCAGTAAGAATTCTTATAATTTTATTCCTCATCTCTTTTTTCATATTTTTAGAATTCCTAGCTTCAGCTACATCATGAAGCATGACAACAGGAAATCTTGCAGTAATATTCTAGTACTTATCCAGCACTTCAGCTAAAAACATTTTAGGTGATTCCAAGAAGATACTGTTCTCCTAAAATCACTAGCATAATTTCTCGAAGACATCTAGAATAACTTTCATGTTTTGAATGGATTAACCATGCCAACCCTCCAAGCCATGTCAACTTTCAAGCCACAATCCAAGCCAAATTTGGTTTAGATAAATTGACTCACTATTGTTCATTAGTAGAACCTGTAGCAATACTTTTTTAACTTGTTCCTTATTTTGTCTTAAATAACACTCGGAAGTGACAAGTACAGTCCGCTGTACTTACAGGTTGTTGGGAGACCACCTACTACAGCATTATACTGAGAATAAGTTGTCTGATAATTGGCAAATACATGATCTGTTGATCTTGTAAGTGTTTTTGGTGTCTTTTCTGAGCTTCCCGCTTCTTTTAACTCAAGATCTTCCTGGTTCAGCAGTGGCTCGACATTCATGTCTTCTGGGAGAATAGGAGCACCTAGATTTTTCCCTAGAAACAAAAATTATGGTACAGGCAGGATTTATAATTATAGACTAACAGGTAAAAACCATTGCTTGAATCCTTGAAAAACTATAAAGTAGATAACATAATTAATCTGCATATCTGATGATTCTATTAAATTTTTAACTTTCTCCTGATTTATGGGACATTCTCAACATGCAACACACAACTCCAGGGTTATGAAATACATTTGTATCTGGTGACAGGCAAGGACTAAGTCATACCCTTCTAAAGGAACACCTAGTCTACACCAGCAATGTCCTTTCAATAGCTGTTGTAAGAACAAGATCGTCCCCAAAGTTTCCCAGTATTAAGCAATATACCTTTTGTAATTATTTTTTCTTCAAATTCTTTAACAGCCATTTTGTCTTTCCAGTTGAGAAAATTTGCAAACTCCAGATAATTAATCAGACCATCTTTATCCAAATCACAATAGTCAAACAAGGAATCCAGGAGCTCATCATCTAGATTCAGATTAAACTGATAACAGGACTTTCGCAGGTCATTCTTGTCTATCATTCCATCACCATTCTATTATAAATAAAATCATACAGTTGTTATAACAGCAATTATTAAAAGGCTCCACCAAAAGTAACACATACCCATATCTGCTTATATGTAAAGACATATGCATATCTGTCTATAGATACAGCTATAGCACCAGGCACACGATTCAGAAAAGTAACGCTGAGTACAAAAAGAAACCCTGAGTAATTTAGAAATTGAAAATCTGAATATAAAAGTGTCAGTAAATAATTTTCAACAAATACTACAGTGATTTGAGATTAAAAGAAAGTCAGTGTGATGGGGTATTGTGGCCAGATAACAATCTAATCATAAATGTTGAAGCAAAGTCAAAATTCCTTTTGAAAGGAAGGCATCAATCATTCTGTATTCATTGCAACTAATGTTATATATGAAATGTTAATTATAATTTTTTTCCATGAGAGAAAATCAGAAAATATATTAAATTCTTGTTAACTCAGTCAAAAAGTACAGCTTGGAAGAAAATGCAAACATAATCCCTTCAGCTGTATCTCTTTTAAGAAGAAATACCAACTTTTGAAGAGAAAAAAATGCTAATATTATTACTGCTTGTAAGTCCCTAGCTTGGTGTTAATTTGGATACTCCAAATACTGTTGTGAAAGGCTCTGTTATGTTTCATTCCATAGCATATCCCAGTATATTAAACATACAATAACTTGCCTTTACAGTCTTCTTCTACATTTGCCTTGCCATGCTTGTCCTTCTTCATGTCTGTATCTCTAGCACAGGAGAACTAATGTCACACATTCCTTCCTATTTTTTCAAAGCACTAACCTTATCATAATGCCTGAATGCTTCTAGTAACATGTCAAAATTCTCATAGTTGGCTTTCTTCAAACTTTGCCGAACTGCAGCCAAGACAGCTCGCTCTCTGTCCTTACCGCGGAGGAACTCACACGGAGCCCGGCAGTGAAGAAGATCACCAACTCCTACAAAAATGAACACTTCCTCTATTAGTTGCATGTATAGAGAAAATGGACATATTAAAAAATGGCTTACAGTCTTAAGGAAAAGGATAGTTTCAGTTTCGAGATGCTGAATTTCAGCACTACTGAACATCTGATACGGCCATTGCATTAAAAAATCAAATGGTCCATATGATGATTTCTGCTCATATGCACTTAATATCAAAAATTTTGAAACATCTTAATATAGCTTCACAAATCCATCCACTGCTTCCAAAAGCTTCTGACAGCAGTAAAAGCTACTTAATGTCCAGACAGTTGAGAGCAAAAGAACATATATTATTAATCTATCACCTCTAGTCTGTCATGTTTCAGGATACTTACAAGAACCAATGGAAAAGCCAATGCAATATTTCAGATAAACCATTGATTTCTAGAAAGACAATGTACTATTTTTGTGTTGCTCTTCCCATTTTCTATGTACCCTAACTTTATAGTAATTTTAAACAATTTGGCACACCAAGCTACAGTCTTCATCTAAGTCCCCAAGACACTCTCTAGACTGCAAGATCATTCACAGACCAGCAACAAATGGCAGCAGCTCATCTAACCCCCTTCTAACAGCAATGTACAAGCATTATTTTCTAACTGTTAATAATTAATTTTTTGTTCAGTTTATTCTGTTGTTCCTTATAGGACAAGCATACCTACACATTTGAAATATTTAACTTTATTACCCTACATAGTAAAACTGGTATAAGCTTGTGCAGAATTTGAAAAAGCCTTCTCTGGTTCTGATTAATTAAATAACTAAGTCACTTATATTTTTTTCTGCCTAACTATTCACTGTATTCCCTAGTCATCAAACATAATATTAAAACACCATCAATCCCAATATTGGGTATTTGTGTTAACTAATTTTCAAAATTTTGTCATAATGAAAGTTCATAATTTTTTATTTTTATTCTGTTTTCTGTCTCTCTGCTACCTTCAAAAACTTATTGTTCTTATTTATTGCTTGTTATTGTCACTCTTTTTATAGAAGTGCTGGAAAAATCATTGAGAGGAAAGTCACATACATTATTTAAATAGCCCTCTTAACCCTGTCATTTAGATGTCAATATGAGCTTTCTACCATTTCTCATTTTGTTTACGTTCATATACAGAGGCTTTAAAAAACAAACCAACCAAAAAATCCACCCCAAACCATGAATCTCCAAAAACTAATGTTTCTTTATTTCTGAAATTAATTTTTTGCCACTAGCAATTTTGATTCTTCTCAAATTTTCCCCTCAAAAACTTTATTGCCACTCTTAAATTTTTGTATTTTGCCTCTAAGACTTTAGGAAAGTTATACACTACACAACTAACACTAATTACTTTAGCATAGTTTCATCAACAATATAAGATTTTATTCTGCCCCTGAACTTACCACATTCATCTGGACGGAGTAACATTCCAAATGTATGGTCTGGGGGAACATTCATAGTTTCTGCTATACTGTCAACAAGCACATATCTTTGTTAATTGCCAAACAGTTTATTAATAGCCACAACAAACCCTATGCTATTATTAAAAAAATATGCTATTATCTGTTACATAATTAGGGATAATGCACATTGGTCACCTGAAATTTATCAGTACTTTGGTTCGAAGTTGCTGTTCCAGAAAAGCATCCCCTTGTAAGCCTGTTTAGAACATTTGCCATTCTTAATATAACACAACTAAATGTAAACGTTAACTTTTTGAACATGTATACTCATTAAAAGGAAAAAACATCCTAGGCTCCAATTTTTTTAAAACAATGACAAAAATGAGTGAGAAAAGTCCTTATAACATATCAGTCAAATAATAGGAATGTTTAGGACAAAACAGATCTCCAACTGAAATAATGTCTCCAAACAAACTACTTTCACCAAAAGTGGAAAAATTGAATCATATCTCACATGCTTTTTTACATGCAATTTTGTGTCCACCTGGAAAACTTGGCCCAGTTTTATTTACTAGAAAATTAAGATGCTATAAGGAACATTTAAAAACTGTTTGTTTCTTAATTTGAAAAAGAGGCAATGTTAATTTTATCTCTATGTTTAATAATTAAAACCATTACATGAATCAGAAATTGCCATCAAAATTGAAAAGAGAATCAATGCTTTGTTCTAAAATACAAAGCAAACAAACAAAGAAAAAAACCCACACAGAGATGGAGGTACTGTGATCTAAAAACTAATATGTGCTTTCTTCTTTTATCACTTTCATATTACACACAGGATGTGGATGGTGTAAAATTCACTAAATAAAACTAGGTTTGCTTGTATCCGTCTTGTAACATTAGTGCTTGGCTTGAGCTTGCGCTGCAACCCATATTCCCTGACTGATCATATTTCCTCATGTTGCTCACCATCCAGGTTACTTCACAGTAAGCTGGGACACACTGAAGGAGAGGGGAGAAACTGGCTCACATTTGTGTTCACTCCCTACAAGTACAATTCTCCAGAGTCATGTGATCTTGAGCTGAAAATCAAATTTTGCTACCAAGGTCAATAATGTTGTTTGTAAGGCTTCACATACAATTTTGCAGAAATCTAGAGCATCTGCAAAGACAGTCTTTGTATACGTTCAGGAGCCCTAGATTTGTAGCACAGCTGGATCCTGACCATGCTGTACCTTAGGAGTACTGAAGCTCTTCCTAAGCATTGTTTTTAAAATTAGAAAGCTCTTCCAGATGACCTGAGGTTTATGAAGCATTGTAATGATTCAACTGAGATCGATATATGCTGCAAGATAATAACAATTTAGTTCCATGTCCTTTTCCAAGGAAGTAATAAAGTGAGAATGCAAGTGATGTAACAAAGATGACCAAAAGTAGTGCCAAAGCAAAATGGTTGAATCTCCAACAACAGGTGAGACATTTCAGCTCTTTCAAACCTTCCTAACCGTACAAGACGGGAAGAAAAATCATGAAGTGTTACAGTGTGCTTCTAATTTGCTTGGTGCAAACATGACCAATTCAGATATAGACCATTTCACCACATAGAAACAATACAGCCCTCATTAGTAACTTGAATACTTATCAGCCTAAATAGGGCAAGTAGAAAGTCCCTTTCTGTAATTGAGTGCTGCAGTGGAAACATTGAACACACAGTTATAGTTTTACCCAAGACAGAAAAAAACATTGGAGACCTGGCAAATGTGAGTGAATTTTGTTCTTGGAAGGTATCTTTGTTTACTTACGGATCAAGGACTTTTCCAAGCTGAGGTTGAAATTTTTCCTTAAAATCGTCACTTCGTTTTGATACAATTTTTGCTGCTTTTTTCCTACAAATTACGAAAATAACTTTCACACATATTTGTTAAACAATATTCAACAATTTTTCAATGCTATTAAAAAATATTGTTATATGTTAGAAGGAAACAGCAACTCCTCTGCGAGACAAACGGAAAGTTAGTAATTAAAAAATCTTGCCATTTAACATTGAAGATGTCTTTACATAACCCTAAAGACATGTCAAGTGCTGTTATATTACGCTGGAACTGATTTGGATAAATTATTCTGAAAATTACTCCTCACATTTTCTGTTCAGCTCAATATAGCTAAGGATGGGATTGTGAGATGTAAAATTATCTTCAAATATGAAGACTCTTCTTGAGAACTCACACCACTAATTAACTAGCTAACTCATTGCAACTTACGATTCCAGATCACAGAGCCAATTTAAGGATTTGGATACATTTCGCCCATCATCAAAGTGAGGGGTTTCTTTTCCGTAAACAAAAAACTTGCTGAAGTTTGGTGAGTCATACTTCCTATTTTTTGGTTCCCCTGTGGAAAAAGTAAGCATTTCAACCTGTATAAAACACCTCAGGAAGAAAAATGTACTAAGTATCTTCATTCTTAAAACAAAACAATGAAGCAGCAAATAACTAATTAACAATGCTGTTCAATTAAGGAGAACTAATCTGCATTCTCCATGTTTATTAAGTAGTTAAGAATAATCTTATTGTCAAAAGTGAAGATAAAAGGCAAAATAAAAAGCAAAAACTGCTTTAGTGGTAAAATAGTTTGATGTCCTTTTATGTTTGACTAAAGACAAGCCCAAATGAATTAATGAAAACATACAAGATAGCCTAAATAGTGAGGGTCACAAACAAATCACTTTATAATGTCCATACCTGAGAAGAGACGTACACCATTTAATTTACTACTTGTTAAAAATGAAAATGCTAAAAAGAAAAAAAATGGTTTTGAGGTGCTGCACTTTCAGATATACCCTTGCTATGTTGACTTCAATGGACATTTTGCCACTGACTTCACTGTAAACAAGACACTGCCCTTCCTGTTTGTGAATCTATTAATCCAGTCTTGCCTGTAAAATGAAGTTTCACATACAAGAATATCACATAAGTACTCTACATAAGTGAGCTGCAAGCACATATTTCTTCCTGCTCTTTTCAATCACCTTTTGAAAAGAATGGTAATTAGAAGTTTCAAAAAATATTGTTCAGTGCATGCTTTCTAATAAGGTCTTCCTCTAGCTGTATGTTATTGTTATTGTTCAAAAATGTGGCACTCAGATGACTTTTTTTTTTGCGGTCTGTCTAGTTTTGGTTTGGCCTCTGCATGATCTTGTGGATGGAAGTTACCAAAGGAGACAGAAATAGGTAATGAGTAATTCCACTAAAATACCTAATAAAGGTGGGGAAAAAGGGAAATAAAATTACAAATTTGTACCAATTTATACCTATAGTATAAAATTGTACCAATAGTATTTGTAGTAGAATTTCTCAATGAGAGAACACAGTACAGTAATTTCAATTCTATGTAACTGCTTCCATGGAAAATTTCCATTATTACAACTGAAATCTCTATTGAAGTTTCCCATCTGTTTGGCCTACACCTACAAAACTGTTGGTACTAGCGCAGTGGGCAATTTTATTATAATACTATTCTTACAGAGCAGCAATGTAAGTCTCAGCCTGTGGAAATGATGGAACTGGGAAAAATAGAAGTGGCTGCAAAAGTAATACATGTATTTCATTTCAGAGTGCTATTTGTCACTCTGTTCCTGTGCAGACCTATGAAATAAAGGGTAACCATCCCTGAGCAGACCACTTCACACAGGTACAGCCCTCAGAGGCTGAAACAGTGGAAGGGCAGAGACAGAGGCTGTGGGACAGAGTCACAGGCAGGATGCTGTAGGCTGAGGAACCTGCACTCCAGAGAGCCAGTCAGCAGCCTGAAATTTCTTGTAACCACGGCCTGATGCTGAGCTCCCCATCAGAAATTCTAACTGCCCTGAAATTATGCTTGGATCCTGATAAAAGAGAGGAACTAGAGGCAAAAGTACTGGAATGGGTTGGGCTCACAGGCTGTGGCTTTCAGCCTGAGATTGCTATCAATGGCATAAACACCACCAAACTCAATAAGCAACCAGGGCACCTATGAGTTTACAGTTTCCTGGAAATACTTTGCTCTTCAAATAGCAGCCAACAAAAATCAAGCTTCCAACACCTCCATTTGGTTCTTACACTGCGTAACACACCCACCATGAAGCAATCCACATTTCTAGAAACAGGTCATGCTCTCTTGGTTCCATATGAGGGTTTTTTCACATCATCACTTTTCCAAAGAATTTATATTATACTAATACAGTAGTAAAAAGTAAGAGTTTATATCTCCAAAAATAGCATACAGTATGTGTTGAAGACACACAAGTACAAGTACCTTTATTTATATTAGAACTTTTCCTGCTGTTCCTTATTAGCCCTTGAACTTACCCACAAAATAATCATTGTGTGACACAACATACAGATCATGTCCTTCTCTGGAGTCTTTATCCACTTCCTCAAAAGTTTTTGGTGGATTTATGAGCTCGCCAGCTGACACATCTGGAAAGTAAGACATAAACATATGGTCGGGGAGGTAAGGTGGATGGGTGTTTTGTGTGGTTGTTTCCTAATTTCAAACAGTATCTTGTCAGAGAAGATGCTACTACTGTGAAAGAATGATACTTTTTGCCACGTTTCTAGTCAATCTATAGGAATCTTAGATCATAACGACATGGGACTATGGGGAAAAAAAATCACAGAAACTGAGATGAAGATAACTGTTGCAAGAGAGCTATATGGTCAACGCATTTGTGATTTGCTCTCATCTATGGAGGAAAGACTCACAGATCAACGTAAAATCTTTTATTAGACCTATTAGTATAGTTGGGAAAAAGACGGTAAGTTATCAGCTACCAAAGCAGTTCTCCAGGAAAATCTACAAAGACAGATGTGGAACAGAGTCCAGAGCCCTACTAGCTACCATATGTTCTCAGTTGCTTGTTTGTTCATCATAACTGAAAAATACTAGTACATTTTTATGTCTTTCAATAACTGCTATAATAATAACTTTTCTATTAAGCTGGAATTGTTGGAAGCATAGAATATGTACAAGACACTAAATTGCAGATTATTTTGTTTTTAGAAGACATATGTTTTAACAATAAATTTTCCTACCTTGGACGACTTTTGTTCCAAAAGTAGTATTAATTATATCCAAGCCCTCAGGTAACATAGCAGATTGGTCATGTGATTTGCCCAAGGGTGCTTGACGATTACTAAAGTAGATTGCTTCTTTTTTGTCTTGTATGATTTGTTGAAAATTAGTTTTAGGGAGTGGATTTATCAATGAACCTGCCTGAAGACATCACAAACAACACAAGAGACAGGAAAACAAGCCAATTTTAATCTTTCACACATCAATATGGTTATCCCCCTCACACATACACAAACAAAAGTTTAGTCTTAAGTGTTCTAATGAGACCTTATGTGATTACAGTGACATAATTTTTATCACCAAGTTGCAAAACAAAACTGTATTTTCAGAGAAGACCACTAGTAACCAATGCTATGCTAAATCTCCAACTAAATAAAGTACATATGGTGCCAGAACTTTTTATTTTTATGCGAGTTTTCCCACTTGCAAATTTATAAAATTTCAGACTGCAGCCTTTCCAATCTTAGCATATATTAGAAAGTATAGTCAAATTATAATATGACCAAAAGTGAAGTGTGAAAATTATTATAGTTATAACATCATTGGAACAAAGTCTTCTGGTGCTTTATTACTAAACTACTTTTGAATGTTATTTAAAGAAATACTGAAACCAGTAGTAGCAAATACAATTGATCCAAACCCACACTTGGACAACTCACTAAGAGTCCAACTCTTCCAATATCGAATTAATAATGCAAATTGAAGCAGTCTTCAACAGATGGTACAGGCTAAACAAACCAGTCCATCCAACATAAAACTTCTGAGCTTTATGAGTTTTACTAAGAACCTGATTTTTTTTCATTTTGGGTATGCCAATACATGTCCTACTCAATATATTCTAGTATCAGGACTTACATGTTTCAACCTGAAGACTTATTTTTGAGACCTGAACTCCTCTTTGCCTCAACTTCTTCGTTTGTAAAATTAAAAACAATAATTAACAAGCCCAGCTGATAAAATGCATCATAAAAGTGTATTTTGCTAATATAAACACCATTTTTAGAGATATGAACAATAATTGTGTGATAAAATCACCAATGATCTCTTCAGTTGTTCAACTACATCTTACAGAAATAATTCCTGAAGCAGACACACAAAGTAGTCTGAAATATTCAAAATGTCACTTTCTAGCTAACAAAATCAGTTTCCACCCAAAGGTAAGAAAGAATACATAATAATCATACAGAACCATATGCACGTACTTACATAACAGTTCTCTTGCTAAGAGTGCACAGGTTTTGCCTCTGTCATCAGTAAAGAAGAAAGCAGTAAAATTTGTGGGTAGGAGACTAATCATTAACTTAAAAGTTGAAACGAAATTAATAATTCAGTAGTTATTGCAAAAGTTATTTGATAAAAGTCACTGAACTTCATGTGTTTTCCTATTCAATCACACTAATTAAATCCTATGAACTGACTTCAGAAATCAGATTCACAGTGGTGAAATGCTGCAGTGTAAATCACTCAGCTATGCACCTTTATCCCTGACTATGAAGAAATCAGTTGCTCTTATTAAAGACATTCTTAAGGTGTCCATTCTTAAACAGAAGTAAATGAGTCACATTCTTACACTGAGTGAAGAACGTGACTCTTTGCCATGTGTCAAGTGAGCTGCAATGTCAGGATCATCTGCTCTGCCGTAGAATATTCTTTCAACACCAGGAGCTGGATTTGTTGTATTTCGAAACTTTCGCACAGTAGTTGGAGTAATGGGCTATATATAAGGCAAAGCAAAAACAATTTTACACCAGATATTCACAAAATAATAATGAAAAGAAAATGTACTGCAGCCATTTCAGTGTGATTCTACAGAGGTAAGAACAAAACTCGAGGACGTTTTAGTGCTGTAACTCATGTGTACACTCCTGCAGATGCTGATATTCTGACCACAAGGTCAACGTGTCCCAGCCTAAATTTTATCAAACCAGCAACAGAAGTAACAAGAGAGCTGCTAAGTTTCAACTCTCTGGTTCCATCTTTAAGATGGGTAACAGCTTCTTCGTGTATACTTCATGAAAAGCGGATGTTACATTTACCAACTTCAGAAACCTTTAATCTGATTCACAACAACTCCACCATCAATGAAGCAATTTCAGAAATTATGTTAACCACAGTTTGGGGTTTTTTTAATTACCCTTTTACAGGAACAGCTGCTATTTAAGGGATCCATTTGTGTTTCAGTGCCTTCTGACTCTTTAGGGGCTTTGGGAAGGGCCAGTGGGAAGCACAATTCTGAGGCACACCCTTGATAAAGAAGGGCTGCCTCCATCAGAAGTAACAATATATCCTAATAATAATCACTATAATTCTATCATGAAAGAAAAACAGTCTAAAACAATCCTATTTAGTCCCACCTAGGCAGGCATGGTTATTTTGTAAAACACGCAGAGTGAAAAATAACTGCCAGAAGTGTTTTACAATCCTATTCTCTATGATTCTCTGTAACAAAAAGTAACATTCGGGAAAAAAAACCCACCTAGTTTCTAAAGAGAAGGGTTGTAGAAAAAGTGACCAAGGTTTCGCTGGTATTTTTTTTTATTTTTTTTTTTTAGGGCCTGTCTCAAAGCACAATCACTAACGGGAAATTACTACAGAAGTTTCACAAGGAGCATCTGAAGAGCCAACTCACCCTGGGTAACACCTCAGTGAGGCAACTCCCAGCCGTCTCGCCAGCGGGAAACAACTTTCCAGCCTAAACAATACAATCAAAAAATAAGACATAACCCAACCTCTTGTACTAATGAGCACAACTAGTCTGTCACCTGATACCTCGCACGAGACGTTGTCTAATTGTCCCCCGTTTTGATAAGAGGGGAAAGAAAAGAGACTAGGGGCATTTTTCGGGGGGAGAGAAGGGGAGATGTGGGGAGATGCGCCCGCCTGCCCCACAGGCTGCCTCTGCCTTCAGCCCGCAGAGAGACCCCCGCCTCGGAGAGGCGCAGAGGGAGCGGGCGGGACGCTCCGGGGCAGTGGTGGGACCCCTTCGGCGAAGGCACTCACGGCCGACAGCTCGGGAAACCTGTCGGTGAACTTCCCCTCGTAGATGGGCCGGAGCTGCCCCGCCATGGCGGCAGGGGGCCCGGCGGCCGTTTGCCCCGCTCGCTTGGTAACGGCGCCGGAGGCAGCGGTGGGAGCGCCCGCGTGGGGCGGGAGGGGCGGCCGCCCTCACAGCCCTCCCGCCATCTCCCTCGCACCCGGCACCCGCTGCTCATTCCCCTCACAGCCCTCCCGCCATCTCCCTCACACCTGGCACCCACCACCCTCATTCCATCTCCCTCACACCTGGTACCCACCATCCACACGCACACCCCTGGGCTCCCAGCCCTGGAGAAAGTCAGGAAACAAACTGCATTTAGGCTATTTTGTAACTCTCATGTTCTAAGAAAATAATTAAGGTTCAGGTGCAGATGTATGTTTCCTAGACCAGGGGTCTAAAGTCCTTGAAAATCCATCAGCTTTCAGACAGGCAGGTTAAATCATCTTTGGTTGAAAGAAGGTCTTACATGGTCAAAAGTCTGCTCAAACTTTAAATCTTTATTAATTGTTCTAATGAAAACAATACAGCCCCTCTCACAAATGTCATGTGTATAAACATATAAATCATAGAACCATAGAATGGTTAAAGTTGGAAAGGACCTGAAAGATAACCTAGTTTCAACCCCCTGACATGGGCACAGCCACCTCCCACCAGACCAGGTTGCCCCATCCAGCCTGGCCTTGAACACCTCCAGAGATGGGGCATCCACAACTTCTCTGGGAAACCTAATCCAGTGCTTCACCACCCTCACAGTGAAAAGTTTCTTGCTAATATCTAATCTAAATCTATCCTCTTCCAGTTTGAAGCCATTACCCCTCGACCTATCATTACATGCCCTAAAATATAAAATATTTTATACCAAGTCTGTTCCTCTAGAGAAAACTGTAACTCCCACCTACGCAGCTGCACAGATGAGGGTGACAGAAGCCTGTCAGCACTACCCATATATCAGGATGCATGAGCGCTCATCATATATTTAATCCACTGTATTTGCCTTTAAGAAACAGATGCGGATTATTTCAGAAAAGCAGGGTGGGTAACACTGAACAAGTTTCACTGCTGTTTATAAGCCCCCCTCAGCTCTACAAAGACTTCTCCTCTCAGGTGACATTTAGTAAATGCTCCTCTTCTTCACAGCAAAACCTCTAAATTTAATCACATCCTGCTCCATTCTCTATAGTCCTGTGACAGCAAAACCAATTTTAGATAAACATACAGACCTGAACTGCAATTAATTAGCAAACATTACCAGCTGTTGCCATTTTACTCTCTGCTCTAACATTTGTTTGATAAGGATTTAGAATGAAGGAAGCTAAACTAAACCTGAATTCTCAGTGACTCTTTCTTACAAATGGGAGGTGAGAGGCTCGGGCAGCGATTGCTCTGATGACGGGGGCACCGATGGTGCGTGTCAGTTCTATGATCAGCAAGCTTCTCACACGCCTGGACATAGCTTAATCTTCTCCAGGTAATGTATATTATCATCAGCTATTACCTAGCCGTGACAGTTGCTGTCGGCCTTTTTGAAAAGTCGGTGTGTTTTTCTGCTGTAGACAAGGCTGGACAACACTGCGAATACAGAACATCCACAACCACTTGGGAACTAAAGAAGCTCTCGTAAACTCTTGACATGCTCAGTTCATTTATACTTCAGTCATATTTGTTGTTACTTAGAGTGGTCCTGCTAAATAAAGCAAAAAAAATTTTTAGTTTAATAAAGAAAATAAAATTATCGGTTACATCTTGCCTTGTGATCTGTCTGGTGCAATTTCTATCTAGTAAAGGCTAAATCGTGGTTTGAACAAAACTGCAGGTGTTAGAAATCAGGGATGGATGTGATCTGATTGAGAAGAGTAACTGGGTAAAGATAAAGCTGTCAGAAGAGGGATCTATTTATACTGAGGAAGAAGAATTATACAGTAATAGCAGGACACAGGAAACTAGGACTTGAATTTTTATTCTTGTTGCATTTCTAGCTGGCTGTCTACCCGTGCTCAAGGTATTACCATTTTTGTACATTGTGTTATTTCTGATTTATTATATTTTATGGATTTTTTTCTCCAGTAGGTGGCTACACTTGCTAATTGAAAGAATCCACTCCGCCCCGATGGAGTGGGTTGTGTCAAAAGCAGAAAAATAGGACCTGGCCATGTAAAAAGAATGTCTGTTGCAGAAGCAAGTAGAGCAGAAGACCTCAGCCTTCTCTGATTTGCCTCTGTTTTTTTTCAGCAGAGGTGCAGGTCCCTGTGAATCAATTTGAAACCTACTAACACCACACATGGCTTCTGTGGGCTGTCTTTCACACATCTCTTGGAAGTAGACCCTAAACCCCCTCAGACCAAAAACCTGCTCTTCAAAATGCTCTTGATTTGCTAGCCTCTTTGAGGAAGAGGGAAACGCCTCACTGGCTGCTTTCCACGAGAAATGCATCCAGGTGCCAAAGAAAGCAGGAAAACATTTTTAACTGCAGAAGCTGCTTCTATTATAAATTACTGTTACAGAGTGGACACTGTAGAAAACTGGCTAGTAAAAAGGCAGAGAATACACCTTTTCCACCTATATAAAAAAACCACTCTACTATTAATCTCTAAAAACGGTATTCTTTAAAATGTGAATCTCGAAGTCATAGAAATAAAATAGTCATGGATGGACCTGGAAACATTTTGCCTTCATATGAATTGCATTAAAAGTATCTTGGATTCAGCCTGGTAAAAGCCAGGCTCAGTGCACTCTCAGCATATTATGGATAGACACACAATATAAGAAAAGCGAGTAAAAGCTGAAGTTTCTTACCTCTGTTTTCTAGATATTTTCTTAAGTCCACAGTGCAGATACAAACTGTGAACTCAGAGTTCCCTGTAGGTGTATCCAATGAAAGAGCAGCCCCTTCTCCCTACTTTTCTGCTTGTTTTAGGAATGTGTGTCATATTAATTCCTTTTTAGAATAGAATTTAGTTGGTGTAAAGGAAGAATATTGGTAGAGTAGGAAGAATCTTAAATTTTAAAGAAACTGATGAATTAACAAAAAAAAATATTGAATCTATTTTAGAAAAAAGATCAAAACTTTCTTGACTATATCATGAATTTGTCATGTCCTATGTCAAAAAATCAAATCTCCTGAGAAATGTGTTTTGGAAAAAGCTAAACAAAATATTGCCTTCTACAGCAGTATTTTTTAACTAAACAGTGCTTGTCATTTGAAAGTTACCACTATTTGCTGATGTCCAATTCCCACAATACAGTGCATTTTCTGTCTTGTTCAGGCTAAAGCTGAGGAATGGAAACTTCCTAAAACCCTGCATTTTACTTTCTTTATGAAGCACAAAGACCCCATGTTCTGCAGCACAGTTCTCATTCTGACTATGGTGCTGGTGTAGATGAGTAGTCAAAACACTAAGTTTGGAATTTCCTAAGGTCTCTGAGGCCAGAGAGCCTGATGTAAAATGCTGCAAATTTTGTGGAACTCGTTAAGGACAGTAGCCATGCTGATACATTTTTGCTGCTGTTATTGTCTGGTTACTTTCACAGGTTTTATTCATTTCGTGTATGGATAGAAAATGACTGCTTTCTATGTGTTGCACACGTTCTATATGCTATGATATGACCAAACCAATGGATGTACAGAGAAAATATACCCAAGCAGAGATAGAAGAAAGACAGAAAAAAGTATATTATAGCAGGTGGAAACATGAAAAAAAATACTGGGAAGTTCAAAGAGAATAAAGAGATTCTGCATGTCCTCTAAAATCAACTTCTATTTACTATTACACAAATAGAGTCAGATTTAAACACAAAAAGACTGAACAGAGCAGATTATTAAACATTGCAGAGAAATGTTGAAATAGACAGAAATCCATCTGGTGAAATCATGACCCCCAAACATAAAACTTTTTTGTTAACATCATCCAACAGAGTTTGGATGATCCAAATCACTTCTGGTATTTGATGTATGACCCAAGATGACATCAAATATGAAAAGATAATCGCTGATAGAGCTATCCAGGTTATTTCAGAGCTTTTCTTAAATAGCTATTTGTCCAGACAACAGAAGAAATTCTTCTTCACCACTAACATTCACAGAGACCTGTCAAGCCCGAAATAAAGTAACTGCAACTTGGTCGTTTGGTTCCTGCCACTTGGGTCTCCTGCCTCTATTTCACACGTTCTCGGTGAACCTTTGCTGTTTGCTGACCCTGTATGTCAGCGTCAACCAGCTATAAACAGTTTGGTAGTTTCACAAAGCAAAAGAGACAGACTATAGCTCTGCCATCAGGGAGTTAGTTGGCCAGTAGGAACCTCAGGCGTGTAACACATGTTTTCTAGCAGCACACCAGTATCGTAGCTCAGCTGTTGTAGGCTCCAAGTCTCAGCGTATATCCATCACAGGATACAAAACATGGACCACATACATACTTAACAGACAAAAAGTGTGTGAGATTTGCGCTCACGCTAGTTGTGTCAGCAAAATGGCCTACTGGAAGGAATATTAAGTCTGCTCAAAGGATTTTGAAGAGAAAAAATCTCTAATCTCTCATGTGAAAGTAATACATTCTTTGTCTTCTCTGAATTCATACTCCTTTACTCTAGACTGCACCAGATCTAGTCACAGCTGAAATGGTTCAGTCAGTTGAGCCACTACAAAACTACATCTTTTTGGTGACTAATTTTTGCATTAAATCAGCGGTTGCTGCAACTCAGTCTGCAGCTGTAGTGTACCACGACTTACTCAAGAGGTGCAAGCTTGCAGCTGGAAACAGAAATGGAGTGGGATCATACCTTCCTTCAGTGGCTCTTCATTTGAGTAGACTGACTGAATCATCAAATGCCATGTATGACATGAGCATTTAATCTCTAAATTGAATTTAAGTTCCAGTTATTCTAAAGATTCACAGTCTAATTTTATTTTTTTTTTTTCATCCAAAACTGTCCATATATGTACTGGTATGTCTTTACTATAAGCTTCAGCAAACTCAAAGCTCAGAAAACTTACATACTTTCAGACATGTTTCTCTTGTCTGGCATTCTACAT